GCTGCTTGCTCTGCGGCACGACTTGTTAAACCCCGCACACGGACGGGTACCGCAGCAGAGCCACGCTCCAGGCTCGAGGGGAACAACGACACCGAGGAGTTGGGTTTGATCGATTAACCCAATGCTAACTAGTATCTCGATTCTCGCTTACTAATCCTTCAAAGGGTTACCACCCGCTTCAACGTAATTGTTGAGTTAATGTACCTGGTTTGGAACAATGGTGACACGAGTTAATTTGTTCCTTCTCCAGTTTTTTTTGCAGGAACAAACCCCGACAGGCTCGACGAGCTTGCTGCAGCCCCTCCCACACCCAAAATAATCGATACCCCCCACGCCTAAAACTTTTCCCATGTGGAGGTGTTTCTTCAAAGTGTTTTAAACAGTTAGCAGGGACTTCAGGAATTACTGACTCTAATCCACAAAGTTTTAGTACATACTATTTTGATTCAAGAGGCCACAGGCAAAACACTTAAAAATATTACTCATTATTTGCTAATTAAAGCCAACAGCATTAAAAGTACAAATCTGACAGCTCTTGCCATAAAGATTTTTCCTCCAGTGCCGATCTTCTGTTTGACATTAGCTCACTTCCAGAGAGCAAAACATCCCAGAGAGAAAAATTAGAATAAAAATCCCTTTTTCTAAAAAGCCTTTCACAAATCAAAGAAGCTCTTGCCCAAGTACACACAGGCAAACAAGATCAAAAGGAAAGCGGGGTTAAACAATCGTTCTCGGTTGTATAATAGGAGGAAAACACATCAATCGTGAGGCCCTGCCCAAGTTCAAGATCCCGTTTCGGTAGCTGGTGGAAGGACAAACAACATGTTGACGAGCTCCTATTGCTTAACCCCTGCAGAATCAGGCTAGAGGGCTTTGCCACCCAGCAAGTCCATTCCTTATGCTGGGAAGCTCGTCCAGGATCACTAAAGCCCGGCTTATAGTCCTGGGAACACCTACAGGCATCATGCCTAGTGCTGGCAGTGCGTCAACGTCCCACGACACGAAACAACGCTACCAAAAAACCACAGCCAGCCTCTCCCGGCTGGGACCCAACAAAACCATCCCGTTTTCTGTACTTTTAATGCAGCGAAAGAGGCTGGAGGCAGAATAGCTTGCTGTGGAAATCAGCTACCTCGAGACAGGAAAGCAAAAAAAAAAAAAAATAAATCTTGGGGAAGTTCCTCGAGGCAGCAGCTGAAAGCCGAGCAGAAGCAACATCCGCGGACCAGATCAAACCCCCGCTCCACTCCAGCTGCCCTACCTTCAGCCTGTGAGGAACACGGCAAGACCTCCCAGGTTGCCAAGATCCTACAGCCCTATGAAACGCATAATCACGAATCAGAGCTGACTGCGAGCCTGTGCTTCGCAACTGAAAGCGGCTCGGGGAAGGCAGTTTGCTGCTGTAGGTTGCTAAGCCACGGCAACGACTTCTGGGGGAAAAAAATAAAAATCACACATTGTTTTGGAACATCAAGGTCCTGCTCTTTATTAAGACATTCTGACAGGGTGGCCTGACCCGGAACTGCTGAGCCACCCACCCAATTCCTGCCATTGCCCTTCTGTACTTTTTTCAGATCAAGCCCTTCTAAAGCTCAGGAATTTGATCTACAGCACTGTCAAGGGGCTTTGTTGCCTCAGATGGGGCAGAAATAATACCCCAAATCCCACAGATCTACAATGCCACAGGGATGATAGGGAGAAGAAGGTCAGCACCGCTTTTGTCTCAGAGAAGCAAACCTCGCGGCAGATTTCCACAGGACGGCATCATATTCCTCCAAAAATATTTCAACAGGAGGGGGATGCTCTCCTTTACAGGGCTACACCCACCTCCTGGCAGAGGTCGCAGTACTGCAGCCGCAGACTCGGGGTGAGACCCTGCCCATGAACTCCCCAGCACACGAGGGCTGTCACCCACCACCCCCCGTGACACACAAGGGCTGTCACCGATTGCCCTCAGAACGGGGGACACGTTTGGTCCGTGCATCGCAAACAGAACCGCAGCCTCCCGAGCCCTGGGCTCCTCTGCCTCAGGTTAATTAGGAGGGAAATGGTTGAGGTGCAAGCAGAAACACACATTTCAGGTTTTGTTCCTGCTGCTACGAGCTCAGAATATTCTTCCCACTTGCTGCATTTCAACACTGCGAAGTCTCTTCACTTTCCTTCAGCTCTGCCTGCAGCAGCTCCTGCCTACCAGGAACCGGGGTCCTGGCACTTGGGGTGCGAGCTCCCATTAAAAACTACTCGAGCCCCCAGCTGCCCTCCCCGGCTGTCGCCCGAGCTCTGACACATCCCACAAACCCCAGAGCTCCTGGAGGAATGTGGCGCAGCATGCTGCCGCAGCCCGCAGCGTGTCTACAGGCAGATACGGCAAGAGCAGAGGAAGATGTTGCCACTGACAGCCGAGAGGCAGGAACCCGGCCCCAGCCTAATTCTGGGGGGCTGCCCTTCCTCATCTGCGGCAGCAGAGGCACCGGCAGGCTCTGCACCCACGAGAAGTCTTTTTTCTGGGGAGCGTTCATGGCTACAGATAAGGCAGAGAAGGCTGCAAGGGTCTGCGTGGCAGATTTCCCTTCGGGAGATAAGTGGAGCGAACCACGTGTTAACAGCTGGGGCCATGCTGGAATTACAGAGCACAGCTTTACCCAGCTCTGCCAAGCCTTTTATCTTCTGTTCCGTTTCTTACAGTGTCAAGACACCAAGAAAATGAAAAGCTTAAATCTGAAGTTAAGCTAGCTTATATTTGGGTTCCCTCCCCCTGTCCCGTCCCCCCCCGAAGCAGCAGATGTAAGTCACAGCCAGCAAAATGTCTGACTACACACATTCAGTTATAAAAAGCACCCCGCATCGCTGCTCCACCCATACCCCATCCCCTCCTGACTCTATCTGCTCCCCGAGAAGTGGAAGCGACGCCTCGTCTCAAAGGAAACCACACCGGGCCGTTCGTTCAAATGGGGGCAGACGTGCTGCTCCGGTACCTGCCGCAGAAAGGCAGACGGACACCTGGCAGGCAGGAGGACACCCAGGAGCCACCTCCTCCACCAGCGGCACCCAGGAGGTCCCAGCTCCTCGAACGGTTCCCAGAGCCCCAAGACAGCTCAGCACCCCACCAAGTCTCCACGTTTCCGCTGGGACCCACCTTTGACTATCGACGCTGCTGTCGCACCGAGCGAGCCCAGACCGGCTGCCACACGGAAACCATAACATGAGAAGACCAAAGAGCTTTTTGCCTTCCGTCTAAAGCACTTGAACGCGAGGGATCTCGTTAGGCTCAGTGAATAATCCCATCCTCGCAGCAGAACAGCACGGATCCTATTCAGCGAGGAGTGTTTCCTGTTTTCTGCTGCGAGGAGCCCACACAAGCTGCGAAGCCCCAGCAGTTGGCCAGTCACCAAACGGACTGATCAGCGAGAAAACGCAGGCAGAGACCGCCTGAGCGGCGCAGCTCATGGCTCGCTTTTACCTTTAGTTCTGTTTGAAGTTTGCTGCGCATTGCCTCCAGCTGTCTCCGCAGCCTTTTTGCGATGCCTTTCCAGAACTCCAGATTCACTGGCAGGTTTTGTTAACAAAGCACTTTCCCTGCGAGTCACAGGGAACCTTGCTCGCTCTCAAGCGCTCTGGGAATTCCAGAGTCTGCCCTTCTCCTTCTAGAGCACCAAGCAAAGTAAGAGATACACAAATCAGGCAGGGGCAGTTTCTAAGCCAGTTTGGCAGGACTTATTCTAAACCTCTGAAATTTAAGGAATATCAAGCTATTTCCCTGTAGACATTAGTTTACACCGAAGGTTCTTTAATGGCTGTAAAGCGAGAGCTGTTTCCTTCCTTGTGAACCTGCACGGGCCCAGGAACAGCAGGCTGTGATCTCTAAACGGTGATGTAGGTAAATCCGCCCAGGGAGAGACCAGGCAGCTACAAGCTGCTAGAACGTGTTGCACTGTCAGCCGCAACGGGGGGACCGTCAGGACACACATAGATCTCGTTAGCAGAGCAAAAGCAAAGTTTTCAGATAAATATGACTTCAAAGTTCTCGGTAGCAGCCAACTGAAAGCCCTGAAAGCATATATAAAGCAATACCCCATAACACTGCAGATGTAACTCTAACCGTTCATGTGTCAGAGGCTCTATGTGTGTGGAGGAAGGACTTAAAACTCATCCCCCGTGCACAGATGGTGAAAGTTTTGAGAGGCATTTGATTTACCTTCCGCGGCAGAATTCCTCCCTAGGTAGCAAAGAGGCAGGGCTGGGCTGGGTTCACTCTTTTCAGGGACACGCTCCCAATGGCCCATCTTTTCCCGTTCCTCTTCTACAGCTCAAAATGTCGTTCTTCGAGGGCCGAGAGCCGCTGCCACGCAGCAGTCATAAGGTCAGGCAGGACAGATCTAGTCACAAGGCGGGGGGGAAAAAAAACCAGAAGGAGAGATGAGCATGGCAAAAACTGAGGTGGAAACCTGCACCCGGCTCTCGCCCCCTCTCAGGGCCCAGATGAAGACATCCCTCTTCCTCCACACACGAACCCAGGAACCTGCCAACTTCAGCCACACAGAAGAGGAACTCTGTAACTTTCCTAAAAAGCCAGATAACCCGCACAGAAACCATCAAGCGCCTGCAGCGCGAGCCCCGTACGCCTCTGACGCGGATACGCGTTCCCCTGGGGACAAGGGTCTGAAGTCGGTCAGGAGAACAGAGAACCACCACTGCATCTCAGCCCGCCCTACGCCCTCCCTTGTCTTCCAACCACAGAGAAAAACCTCCACCTTGTCTTTTTTCTTTCCTTTTTTTTTTTTTTTTTAAATTTAAATTGCAAGACTAAGGGCTCCTCCAGAGCCCCTGCACATCCCAGCCTCCCTGACAGGCTGAACACGACTGAGCCGGTGATCCAAACATCGGTTGCCTCCCCGTGGCATTTTGCTTCAGAAACCTCCCTTGTCTTCCAACCACAGAGAAAAACCTCCACCTTGTCTTTTTTCTTTCCTTTTTTTTTTTTTTTTTAAATTTAAATTGCAAGACTAAGGGCTCCTCCAGAGCCCCTGCACATCCCAGCCTCCCTGACAGGCTGAACACGACTGAGCCGGTGATCCAAACATCGGTTGCCTCCCCGTGGCATTTTGCTTCAGAAATTCCAGCCCTCGGCCAGAACTCCGCTTGCCTCAAACCCCCACCTCGCCCAGCCGGGATGAGAGGCGTTCCCAGCAGAATCGCAGCGTGTGCAGGGGAAGAAACATTTGCCCAGTAGGTAAAGTCTCAGCTTTTCAGTTACACAATCCTGCTAAAAATAGCTTCCCCAAATGCCACCTTAAGATCTTCTGACACAAATCCAAGTTTTTCTTGCAACTCCTCTGCTCGTTCTAGCATTGCAAAAATCGACAGCAGGGAAGCCCGAATCGGAAAATCTGCTTTGGTTTTATCTGCTGGTCTCGGCAACAAGGATAAAACCAGCTCAGAAACACCCCGGACGTTACCCCCGCGCTGAACCGGGCACGATGGCACCTGGCCTCCGAAGCCACCACAAGCAGCTTTGTTGCTGTTATAACAAAAAAGTTTATCTGATGCTGTTGTGCATCTTTACATTTATCACTTATAAACACATTAAAAAAGACCAAGGCCCTTCCTGTAAGATGAGATCCCGCCTGGCTCAGGTGCTTAGTGGAGACGAGCAGCAGTACGCGGCCTGCTTTGTGAAACCTCGTCGCAAATAAACCCTTATCCCATTTAATTACCGACTTCCCTCCACCTCCTACCCCACCCGAGCAGACAGACAGGCCGCACGATGCGCTCTGAAGGTCAGGCTCCCGAGAACCGGTCAGCCGCACGCGTTCCCCTCGGGGTGCTCTCCTGCTGCGTACGGGGGGGGGGTCCCCGGCCCCACCGGGGATCAGGACGGCCCAAACCCTCGCCGGGCCACGGCAGCACCCAGAGGCTGCGCTAATTCGTCATCGGAGCCGCTTTCAGCCCAGTTCAAGCGTTTCCTTCAAAAGCCCCTCGAAGAGAAACTGCCGGTTTACGACACCGTAGTGTC